GCTCTCCATCTGCAGGTTTACTAGTGGTTCCTAGAATTTCTTAAAGTAGAATGGGAGGCAGATCTTGTAGTTATCAGGCTCCTCTCCTGTGGAACCAACTACCAGTTTTAGTCCGTGAGGCAGACACCCTGTCTACTTTTAAGGCAAGGCTTAAAACTTTCCTTTTTATAAAGCTTATTGTTAGAGTTGCTCAAGTTTTCCTGAGCTTTCTCTATTGTTAAGCTGTTATAGGCTTAGACTGCTGGAGGACCTAGAGACCACTTTTCATAAATCTCCTTCATTCTATCTTTATGCTCCCATTTTGCAGCATTTCTTAGTTTACCCCATATCATAATCTTCTCTCAGCTTTTTTATCATCTAGTCTGTTGCCATTTGGCTGTGAACCATCTTGGAGAGAAATATCAGCTGAGTTGCTACCTTCAACAACTCTCATTATGGATGACAGTATTATGCCTGTTTTTTAGTAATGGGTGGGAACCAGTGGCGGTTCTAGACCAAATATACCAGAGGGGGGCCAGGAGGGGGCCAGCGTGTTTTCATGGGGGCACAGAAAAGCATGAAAAAAAAAACAGGGCAAGGGATTCAAATAAAATAAGATAGCTGCATGAAGTGAAATTTCTATTCAATTAGGTTTCATTAAAATTCTAAATGTCTTAATAGGTCAATATACATTCAGAATTTAGGGATTTAACTTTTTTTTTTAAACTTAATTTAAGTTAATATTATAGTTTTCTATAAAATCTGAATTAGATTTTAAGAAAAACTTAAAATTAGCTGTAAAACGTAGAGTATTTTTTTTTTTTACATTTGTTTCGGAAAAAAACATTTAGCAGATGAAAACTGGGATTCTATCTCAATACCAGTTAAGCTATGTTTTTAAACAGTTAATAAAACAGAATTTATAAAGAAAAAAATTAAATAGATCTAAAGGATCTATCAGTAACCATGTCTGTTCTAGCACATATCATCATTAGAATTTCTTTGAGTATTATGTCTTCAGTACAGGGGCCATAACAGGGGCCAGGACTTGATATACAGGGGCCCTGGCCCCCGTTGGCCCCTGTATAGACCGCCCATGGTGGGAACAGTTCTAGCCTCAATCAAAGAAGGTAACGGTGCTTGGTTCTCCTTCCCCTTTATTTTATTTTCAAATGATTATCTTATTCTTTTCTCTAATTATAGTCCAGCACATCTTCACTTTCTGCACCTTCTTATCCTGTTTTATCTCTTCTCGAATCTTCATTTCAACAATGTTCAAACTACACAGATGAAAACCTTTTTTACTTTCTGACCATTACACACGGATGCTGAATGGATCCTGCTAAAGGATGGGTTTTAGTAGAATAAAATACAACGTAATGGGAACACTGAGTAGACCAAATCTGAGCAACAAGAAAATGCCACCATTTGTTTCCTTTTTGTTTCTATCAGTGCTGAGGGTAAAGCTCTGAGAAAGGCCCAGCTGTGTTGCTCTAGTCGGACTCCTTGGCAGCGCCCTGAAGTGCAGATAACTTCTCCTGGCTGTCTCCTTATCTGAATGGGACAGAGGAAGCTCTTGATTGTCAGAAGGAGGAAGACAAACTCTGGGATTCTAATAATAGCGGCTTAAAAATAGCCTCAGGCTTAGGTTTTGACAGGGAGGTGATAGCTGTTATAATGCAGCTTGATCAGCTTAAGGCTGACAGACACCTGAATCTGAGCAGCAACTCTGCCCCAATCAGATGTTGTTGTCCACAGTTATTTTACGGGTGAAGAGTTTAAAGTACCAAAGAATGGCAGTGATAGCATATGCCACATAGAGGTAGGAGAGAGAAGTGAGAGATCAGCAGATTTAAAATCAATCGGAGAGGGACATTTATTTCCAAGGATATCATCCAGAGACAAATGTCAGGGTTGCACTGAGTATATTGATGGATAAATATAGAGAAGGTCTAAAGCTGCTGCTTTGTGTTTGTGTGGATCTAAAGATTCAGCTTCAGGGGATAATAAATGTATGGAGTGTATTTTGTTTCACTATTGTTGCAAGAAGTGATCATGTTTTGTAAATGGAAATTTAAAGAAAATCAAATACAGAAATTAAACTTTGAAAAACATTTTTGAAAAAATAGGTTCTGAGAGTGACTGAGTCTGTTTTTTTAATTTATATTTTAGTTTGTTCCCCCCACAATTTTATATTTTAATTTAACATTTTTCAGATTGAGTTTTATGTGTTGCATTCTTTTCAAATTGTGCTTCATAGTTAACGCTTTTCACTTCAAGCACAATATGTCAGGGTTTGGCACTGATGATTTATATTATCATTTACTCCTGTCGCCTGTCAAATCCGCCGGACAGCTGATTACGCTAATCTTGTCAGGTGCAAAAACAGGGTTACAGTTAAATTTTTTTTCAGTTTGATTTCCAGATTGCATTTTCTTTCAAATTCTAATTTGCAAAATGTGTGTTTTAATTACCCCTTATAAAAAGGTGCCCTTTGCTATTATTACCAGTATTTTCAATTATTGTAAAGCACAGTTTATAATTACTTAAAGAAGTCAAAGCAAAGCAGACGACATGTACAAAATCAGTCTTTATTGGTTTACAAATAAGCAGCCTGGAGTGATATAAGGTTTTTCTAGAAAAATTTAAAATGAGAAAAAAAGCAAACTGGATCAACAAGTGATGCACGATTTATTTTGATCCAACTCCTCAAATTTATCACTGACTTTTATTGTTTAATCTATATCTTTTTTGGAGCACATGACCTTCTTATCTGAGTGAGCTGAACCTAAGTGAGGCAGAAGTAGAGGGAACTGGGAGCTATTCCTGTTGCAAGCGCGTCTTTCTTTTCCACCGTCTCCACTTTCTTGTTCAGGAGGAAACATCTGCAAATTTCAATGACTGGATGCAATCAGCGGAGCCTCCTTATATACACTATATTGCCAAAAGTATTTGCTCACCTGCCTTGACTCACATATGAGCTTAAGTGACATCCCGTTCCTAATCCATAGGGTTCAATATGACGTCGGTCCACCCTTTGCAGCTAGAACAGCTTCAACTCTTCTGGGAAGGCTGTCCACAAGGTTTAGGAGTGTGTTTATGGGAATTTTTGACCATTCTTCCAGAAGCGCATTTGTGAGGTCGCACACTGATGTTGGACGAGAAGGCCTGGCTCTCAGTCTCCGCTCTAATTCATCCCAAAGGTGTTCTATCGGGTTGAGGTCAGGACTCTGTGCAGGCCAGTCAAGTTCATCCACACCAGACTCTGTCATCCATGTCTTTATGGACCTTGCTTTGTGCACTGGTGCACAGTCATGTTGGAAGAGGAAGGGGCCAGCTCCAAACTGTTCCCACAAAGTTGGGAGCATGGAATTGTCCAAAATGTCTTGGGATGCTGAAGCATTCAGAGTTCCTTTCACTGGAACTAAGGGGCCAAGCCCAGCTCCTGAAAAACAACCCCACACCATAATCCCCCCTCCACCAAACTTTACACTTGGCACAATGCAGTCAGACAAGTACCGTTCTCCTGGCAACCGCCAAACCCAGACCCGTCCATCAGATTGCCAGATGGAGAAGCGCGATTCGTCACTCCAGAGAACGCGTCTCCACTGCTCTAGAGTCCAGTGGCGGCGTGCTTTACACCACCGCTCCCGACGCTTTGCATTGCACTTGGTGATGTATGGCTTGGATGCAGCTGCTCGACCATGGAAACCCATTCCATGAAGCTCTCTGCGCACTGTTCTTGAGCTAATCTGAAGGCCACATGAAGTTTGGAGGTCTGTAGTGATTGACTCTGCAGAAAGTTGGCGACCTCTTCGCACTATGCGCGTCAGCATCCGCTGACCCCGCTCCGTCAGTTTACGTGGCCTACCACTTCGTGGCTGAGTTGCTGTCGTTCCCAAACACTTCCATTTTCTTATAATACAGCTGACAGTTGACTGTGGAATATTTAGGAGCGAGGAAATTTCACGACTGGATTTGTTGCACAGGTGGCATCCTATCACAGTTCCACGCTGGAATTCACTGAGCTCCTGAGAGCGACCCAGTCTTTCACAAATGTTTGTAAAAACAGTCTGCATGCCTAGGTGCTTGAATTTATACACCTGTGGCCATGGAAGTGATTGGAACACCTGATTCCAATAATTTGGATGGGTGAGCAAATACTTTTGGCAATATAGTGTATATTGCATTCCAAAAAATTTGACACTACATTGCAATTAATATCAGGAAATAAACAGGAATGCATTAGTAAAATACTGGTTTAAATTAAATAGTTTGTGGATCGGTGGATTTTGGACCAAATAAACAGGATTGGATTTTAACTTGTTTTTTAAGCCACTGGAGAAAGATAATTAATTAACACTAATAATAATTCCTCCTGGCCCGTTTTAACAATCATTTTGCTGTTGTACTTTGTCCGTGAGACATTACCTCCGGTCTACATTTTAAGAGTAGTGTTTGGCAGTTTCCAAGCAACACTCACTGCCACGGTCACACAAACATGCGTCATTTCCTACAGACAAAGACTCCTGAGCGCGTCCCGTTGGCCGCTCTCCAGCTGCGCTCACACAGAGAGGACCTCAGTCTGCTGCAGCATCTGTTTCTGCATGGAGAAATATTCCCCATTTAAACGGACTGGTGTGTTTTAAGCCATTTAGGATCCACCTAATGAAGACTGCTCTCTTGAGTTGGACTTGGTTTTAGGTATCAGCGGACCATCTGAGGTGCGTCCGGTCCGGCTTATGTTAGGCACTGAATAAGAAGAGGATTAAACAGTGATTTGCCTGTTTTTTTTTTGGAAGCACAGCTGCCTCATATGGGTGAAATGTGTCCGTTTGCGTGATAAACGTAGAGCACATCAGCGCCTTTACGCACATTGATCCCTGCTCACCTGTTGATGCCTGACTCCCACCGAGCGCTTTAACTTCGCTGATGGAAGATGTGAACTGATCGGCGCTGGAGCAGCTCCCCGATGCGTCCTCAGCACTGAACCCGGCTCTGCTTCTCCGTTATGCGGTAGGATGAGCGCGGATCTAGAGCGCGCTTCCCCCAACGCATCGGTGAACTCCAGCGGCTTAGGGGGCCGTGCGCTCTCGGCAAATGTGCGGAGGCTCCATAACAGCCTCAACCTGCTGCTCAGTGACCTGGAGAGAGAGCAGTTCATCCACTGTCTAAATGTTTACCACGCCAAACGCAACGTCTTCGACTTGGTCCAAACTCTGAAGGTGATTCTGAACTCGCCCGGGAAGCGGCAGCTGCTGCCCATGCTGCGCCTGGTCATCCCGAGGTCCGACCAGCTCCTCTTTGACCAGTACACCTCCGAGGGGCTCTACCTGAACACAGACCTCCTTCCCAGTAACGGCAGCGCGGAAAGCTTTGGGGACGAAGGCGATTTGACTCTGCAAGCCTATGTGAGCTCACTCTGCAAGCTCACAGCGGGCTGTCCGGAACCCACGGCGTCCATGGCCCCGCTGTTCTCTGAGGGCCTCTTTGGAGAGGTGCGCCAAGTTACCCTGACGCGCTCCAGGAGCCACGAGGGTCTGGGCTTCAGCATCCGCGGGGGGGCGGAGCACGGCGTGGGGATCTACGTGTCCCTGGTGGAGCCGGGCTCCTCGGCCGAGAGAGAAGGACTGAGGGTTGGAGACCAGATAGTAGCAGCCAACGACTCTGTGTTTGACGCCGTCACTCACACGGAGGCGGTGAAGGTAAGGAAGGGTTTCATGCCTGTGGAAGTGTGCGTGGTTTGCGGTGAATCCAGCGGTGGACAGATGCGCTGTGCTCAGCAGGATGAAGCAGACGCACCGAAACGTAGAGTTCTGGCCTAAAAGCAGCAGGACTGAAAGGCTGCAGTTTTTCTGCACCATTTCACAGTGCGTTCATACCATTTTCATCTTCAATTTTAATTCAATTTCAGTTTATTTCTATTGCGCCAATTTACAACACATGTCATTTCAAGGCACTTTACAGTTCACCAGATCATCCAGTCAGATTATTCAAAGTTTTCTATCTAAGGAAAACTAGTTGATTGCATCGACTCATTGACTTGAAGGCAATCCCTCACACTAAGCATGCTTGTAGCGACAGTGGAGAGGAAAAACTCCCTCTGAACAGGAATAACCAGGCTCTGTATGAGTGGCCATCTGCTTAAGGCGACTGGGGTTCAGGAGACTGAAAGAAGCAGAGATACAAAAGGCAACCAGCTCCACAGGCGGCCCCGTCCACGAAACACACAGCCAGGCAGACGAGCTCCGAGCCAGCTCCCATGAGCACATCCAGTTAGTCACAGTCAGAGAAACAGGACTACACTGAAAAACATGCAGATCTCAAACATCTATAAACTAAGGTGTTGATGGCAGCAGCACATACAGTCTGCAGAGTAAAGAATCCCGGTGCTTCATTTCTGAATAGAATAACAAACAAGTCCACAATAGTGCTGCTTCTAACTGTCCCAAACAAGCAGTGAGTGAGGGAACTCAGTCATGCTTTAGATATGAATGCAGAGGCTTTTCTAGCTGACAGGATGGACTCTTTGTTCATGGCATGAATAGATAGAACAATTTCCCTGCTTTTAGCCTGACATCCAGATGAGACATCTGTTAAAGCTCTGATTTTCAATATGTGAAGCATCTGGTTGTTAGTATTATTCCTTTTGATGATGTGTGAGTCAGCTAAACCTTAATAATACCTGCCTGTTGCAAGGAAAGAGTTGATCTAGTTAGGACAGTTCCTCTGTCAGAATAAAAGGTCATCTTCAATAGGCAAGTGGCAAAGATTTGGGAATGGAATGAGACTTAGACTTAGACAGCATTTATTGTCATTTTGTATACACAAAATGAAATTTCGTTTTGTACAGCTCTCATGACTTTTCCATTTTCTTAATAAATAATAATTGAACTTTAGAGCTCAGTCTGTCTTAGAATAAAGTACTTTCCTTCAGGACTGACAATTACTGTTTTCTACTTTCGGCTACTTTAGATCGCAAATTAAATGTAAAATAATACCAAATATCGGTAATAATATGTTTAAACTCCAAAAGAGATTTGATCTTTAAGAAACGGGTGCAAGATAGCTTGTCCGATATATTGACATCATAAGAGGGGGCGGGGCCCTGAGCAGATCTGGTACCTACACTGGACCCATCCTGATTTAAAATAAATTACTGCATGTTGTCAGACGACAGTGTCTAACTTCACTTGTGCCGCTTCTCCTGTTAATACGGTTAAGCCCTCTGTAGCGTCCGGCACCAGGCTACACGTGATCCAAATGAGCCAATGAGCTGTCAGTCTGGGTTGCTGCTGCTGCTACTTTTAGACACAGCAGGCAAACCTGTGGCAAGCCGGGCGATGGGAAAGAAGGAGAAGACGATGAGAAAAAGAGAGCAGAGAAAGTGTGGACTGCTGGAAGAACTGCGGTGAACTGGTGAAAGAAAAGTGAAATGGCGTGCTCAAAGATGACCCTGCACATTTAGAGGATGTTTGGCTCAACCTGCTGCTGTGAAGCAGGATTCTCCACCATGAACAGAATCAAAAATAAATCTGGATCCAGGCTCAAAATGAGCACCTTGATATGTGCTTGAGAATGGCTTAGTCTCCATTCAAACCCAGGTTTAAAGCCTTGCAGGGCAGCATAAAGCCCACTGCCAACATTAAGACAGAAAAAATAAAAGAAAATAACAAATGGTGAGTTCAGGTGCTTTATAAAATATGTGAATCAGGAAATAGTTTATTTACCAAATTGAATGTTTGTTTTTCTCATCTGCAAAAACAACTTAGATTTTAACATTTTTCTATTTTTTTTCTATTTTTCAATTTAAAAAGTCCATATATAACATGATGCATAAACACCTACTTTTATTTCAGTGTTAAATTCTGTTTAAACTAACAGATTATAATTAAAAATGTCTGTGGACATTTACTGGTTGTTGATTTTCTTTATTCTGACCCTGCTAGTTTTGTTATTGGTTCCCCCTGCTCTATGCACTGGCTGGAGCCATGGACGTCTCATTTACAAGTGTCTATGATGTAAGAATGTGATGATGTGGCAGACCGGAGTTGTATAAAATGACTCTTTCACTGTGATTTGAAGCATTCTTTAACAATAAGCGAGCTTGGTTGGTAAGCAGCTTCTATGGCCTGAGTAAGATTACAATTCATGTCAAAATCTGGTAATTTACTGGTAATTTAATACATATACGTTATGAGGTGTTATTTAAAAAGTTTTTCACAAGTGATCTCTTCTCAGGACAGAACCGGGGAGATAAATCTTATAGGTGTCAATACAGAGCTTTCCTTTACATGGTGGTACCTCCAATGACATCACTCAGTAGTCCTATTGGCCAGCAGTAGTTTAATAGATTTTTTGTTCTTTCCTACTGATTTTTTTTAAATAAACCAGGGGTTTAATTATGTTTCAATAGGACAACACTAGGATACGGAAACACAACTGAAAGGAGAAGTAATATTTCCCATGTCTGGATTTTACAAAATACAAAGCTTGTATTATTGTAGTAAAGAAAAAAAGAGGGATGATTCTGGTTTGTGTGTCACACCAAAAAGTGATCATTACAAAGCAATCATTCCCAGGTCTCAGTAATTTAAGCCTTTCTGCAACCTTTGATTGATTCACACATTTCTTTTTCTGCGTTGACTTGGTTTGTACCGTTATCAGACCTCATCGAACTCTTTCAAGCCTCAAACCTTCTGAATGTGTTAAAGCAGGTGTCCGTTTCAGGTACTGGAGCAATCTGTATGTGAGTTGTTCCTGTGCTTTGGTATTTAAACATAACATCTTGAATGTTTATATCACGTCTGCCTTATTAAACATGGAAATGTCCAAAACTATCTGTCAATTTGCACCAAAGCAGCAGGCTTCTTTCAACACAATTTTTAAATTAGCAATTCAGCTTCAAGCTGGTAACCAATAAAATTAAAACACTGGTCTTATTCCCTGAATATAAGAAACCCGAGTGTGAAACTGCTGTTTTTGCTATAGCGTCCTGTGCATTGGGTTTTACAGTGGTGGTGAATACAGCCACCTGTTGCTGTGGTTTTTCAATAACATTTCTATAATTTCATTTGTGGGATGATCAGCTCATCAGGCTGATTGCTGTCCTACATTGGATTGTTAACCTAATCAGAAACAGTCAGGAACTATAAAGAGCATCAGCCTTGTCTGCTTTAATCTTAGACCTGTTTACAGCCTTATTCGGATAAGTTGTCGTTTTGATCTCAGGGCCGTAAATACAGTATAACTATTTTATTTCCCCTTAGTAGCCCTTCTAAGGTTTCATTTATTGGCAACCTCTAAATACAAGCCTCTTTGCCGCTGAAAAACAATCCCCATTTGGCTCCCTTCCTATTGTCAAAACATGCTGGGTCTTACCCCTCTGTGGCAACTGAGTGGCCTCTGTAGCCCAGCGGCTGTGTGTCTGGTGATACCATCACACAGGGTTAGCATTGATAATGTCACCAGTGCTACAGAAATCAGGAAAGTAAACAATGGAAAGCAGCATGTAAGGAAGTCAGAGTGTAGTCAATGTGCTTTATTGTTTTGCTCTGTTATGTGTGTGAATCCCTCTCACCAGAGCTGCTCCATATGTATCGAATGTAAAAAGTTGTTTCAGCTTGTTAGATCAGAAGCGACTGGTGTGGTGTGTTGACGTCCGTACGTTGCATTCAATGGCATCACGTAATTTGCTATTGGTGAGACGTATCGTGTTTACTTCCTGTTTGAACTACTGAGCAGTGTTGTTGCTGTCCAGGCTATCTCCGTCTGAATTAAGTTATTATTTCTGTGATATCTCTGTATCTTAAGTAAATTTAACCGACCAGAACCACTTTAAAACATAGCGCCTTCTGCTGCGCTTTTTTACTGAGCACTTGTCAGTTTCTCACGGTTTTATTTCTGGTAGTTGGGAATTGGGGAAAAAGTAATAAAGTAATCAAACTAAATTAAATGTGGTCTGTTTAACATAAGATCTCTTTCCTCTAAAGGTCTGCTAGTTAATGGCTTGATTTGTGATAATCACATTGATTTATGTTGCCTTACAGAAACTTGGTTGCAGCAAGGGGATTATGTGAGCATAAATGAGGTACTCATGAGGAACTCCTTCAAGCTATTTAAATTTTCACATACCCAGAAGTTCTGGGCGGGGAGGAGGAGTAGCAACAATCTTTCGGTCTGACTTACTGATTACTCCAAAGACAGTTAATACTTACAACTCTTTTGAATATTTAACCCTTCATTTCCCTCATCCAAACTGCAAAGCAAGAAAACCTCTTATTTTCATCATAGTGGGAGATTTTAACATCCATGCTGACATTGAAGGCGATAGCTTTTTTGAACAAAGCTGTTGGCTGATAGAAGGTTAACAGTGACTCAAATAACCACCCGTTACAACCAAGGTGGGCAGAAGAGCATCTCTGAACGCACAGTACGTCGAACTTTGAGGCAGATGGGCTACAGCAGCAGAAGACCACACCGGGTGCCACTCCTTTCAGCTAAGAACAGGAAACTGAGGCTACAATTTGCACAAGCTCATCGAAATTGGACAATAGAAGATTGGAAAAACGTTGCCTGGTCTGATGAGTCTCGATTTCTGCTGCGACATTCGGATGGTAGGGTCAGAATTTGGCGTCTACAAAATGAAAGCATGGATCCATCCTGCCTTGTATCAACGGTTCAGGCTGGTGGTGGTGGTGTCATG